AATTTTTATTATAAAATATATTTTTAAATAAATTATCATCTAAAAGTTTATATTAGATATTAAAAACATGTTTATATCATAAACAAACTAAACTTGCTTTTTATAAAATTAACATAATTATTTTTATGTTTTTATTAGTGTTAAATTATTATAAAGTAAGTCTTTAAGGTTGTAGTTCTAACCAAATATTTAAAAAAAATATATATGACAGATAAATAAGTCATATTTAGGGCATGTATTTTTAACAAAAGTTAGACTCAAATCTACTAAATTATAGTATAACCAAATTTGACCTAATTTATTTTCACCCCTAATCGTAATCGTAAATATAAAAACTTATAGGAAACAATTATGATATATATTTATATTTTTAAAATTTATGTGTAAAATTTTTATTACTAAAAATATATAAATAAATATTGTCCTCACTATCTAAAATTTCCAGATCTGTCATTGCAACGCACCTTATGCTCAATGCCATTGTGGCAGGAAGCTTTTTGCCTTGCTCATGCCTGACATCATCCAATCCACACTTAACATGATCGAGGTGGAGATCCCTTAGGACCTCCCTGACATGGCAAAACTTATGTCTAACCCCATATTAGGTAGAAAGTCTCTACCTGACTCCCACCCAACGTCACCAAGTTAGAGACTTTCCCTTATTCTCATGCTTGTTGCCATTCAAACCATGTTCGGAGCCATCTCAACCCGAGACGAGTCTTTCTCCTCACACTCGATGTCACCAATCTTACATTCAAAGTGATTGAGATAGAGACCTCTGGTTGAAACTACACCCAACACCATGAAGGCGCACCTATTGTAGCTGTGATTTATGCATAATGCAAATCACAAAAGTCGCCCCAAGCTCCTAAAAAATAGAAGATCCAAGACATGCAAAACATCATATCACACAATTACAACATCCACAACTCAATTTTGGCATTAGAACCCACATGCAACCACTAATCCAACAATTCATTCAATTATCACTTTCATGAACCCAACCCATTCAAGTTCAACGTTTTCATCATATCATTCAAAATCCACCAACATAAACATGTTTTAATCACTACCTAGCAACATGTAACTCCATAGAACAACAATGTATCATTCCTATCTTCCCCTACCTCAACTTTGAGTTAACCAAATCGAACGAGAGGAGAAGGAAGAACTTCAAGCTTCCACAAGTTCTATAACCACCCAAAGTAGCTTCTCAGCCTCCAATGTTTGAATTGTCACACCGAGAATCCAAGAAACCTATCGTGCCTCTAGGAAATCTAGAAGAAAAAGAAGAAGTCAAAAATCCCAAAGTCTATCTCTCTTATTTCTCTCTTTGAGGTTTGAAGATCATGAGCTTATGAAGTTCAACTCAAAATAGAACCTTATATACCTTTACCCTCAAGATCAATTAAACCACTAGTCAGAGACTTTAAACCCTAAACTCAACCCACCTAAGTATAGTGTTACATTGTGGATATTCTTCTCTTTGTAACAACCCAATTTTCACAGATTGTACGAAGGCCCAAACCCCAAAAAGGGTTATGTAGTAGCCCAAAATGTGACACCCTTACTACCCCAACACATATATTGTAATTCCTAATAACATGGGTAGTCTAAGTGACTCCATTCTACCAAACAAATCCAATCATTTTCTCACCCAAAGCACTAGCTCGACCACAGTAAAGTGGGATACCAATCCCTCATCTAATTTCTCAAATATTGTCACTTACAACAGGAAAGTTCAATCCCATCATTATGAATAGTACAACTGGGTATAAGTTTACTACGACCTTAGCACGCATTACATTTTTCCTCTACTTAAGTCCTAGGTTAGCCAACATGCTTTAATCCCATATCGCACCCTCAATATCCACACCTCACCATACATCATCTATATACATCACATACAATCAACACATACAAAATCAACAACATCATACAAATATACTGTGACACCCTCTACCCCAACATTAATACACAATAAATGTAAACAATAAATTTTTTTTCCTTTTTGAGTAAATAAATTCTTTCACAGTAAACAACATCCTTCATGGATAAAATAGTTGTCTCAAATATCAAAAGGTAGAAGATTCACATTCGTAACTCATAAATCATAGGAAGTCATCATGCATTTATGAAAATTATTTTGTATAATATTATTAATTATGATATTTTTGTTATAATTATTATTTGAAGAAAATCATGTTTTAAATTGTATTGATATTTTATTTTGATATATATATATA